TGGTTGGTTTTTGGTGCTGGGGACTGAACCAAGGCTTGGCACATGCTAGGCAAGTGCTCTACCCTCGCAGCTATACCTCCAACCCAAGCTCATCTTTTGAGTGCTGGAAAATTCTAGTTGTGTTTGAAGACATGTTTTAAAACTTTTTCAGGATTTGGTAAAGGTATACTTTTTTTTTTTTTTTTTTGAGATGGGATCTTGATAAAGTGCCTAGACTGGCCCCAAACTCTTGGGCTCAAGTGATCTTCTTGCCCTCAACCTCCTGAATAGCTGGGACTACATGTGTGTGCCACTTGTGCCAGGCTAAGGGATACCTTTAAAAATTCTTTCTGTCCTATATTTAATAATAACAGCTAATCTTCAGTGTATTCTGCTCTCATAAGTAAGCTGATTACTCAGTATAAGAGTGACTTAAAATGCTGCTGCTATTCTATAACCAACATTTTTAATAAATGAAAAATGGAGATTGGACACTCCTTTAAGGCTTTATTCTTTAGATGTTTAAACCAAGTAAATATTTTATTAACTATCTTTATAGCTTTCCTTCCATTGTAAAATCACATACCAGACAATTCTTGTCAACGTGCAGGAGCATGTCCTTAACATTAATTTCAACCCCCTTGTACATATTCCCCACAATTAATAGAGCCATCTATACAAACTAGGGTGGTATCTCTTTATCCTTGATCTCAGAAGAGTTCACTGTAATTACATAAATTTTAAAAATTTTAAAAGCATGTCTATGTCTAGAACATTCTATGAGAAAACCATCTTCTAAGCTTAAAGATGGTATTCTAATTTGGTRTAAGCATATCATTACATATCTAATACTTGCTTTCTTTAATTTCAACAATTACAATAATAGAATATTGGAGTTGCAGGATGTTTAGATGTAATCTAGTCTTAGCCTTTTACTAGTACAGTATATATCAATAAGTATAGTACATCATCTCCAAATGTCCCTGACTCACCTGTAACCAGGAAGAAAACACTGATAGAAACCTTGCGTTAAATTTAGAACTCTTGGCTGTTGAGATAGTAAATGCATTATTTATTTATAGTAAGAAACCCATCTATCTTCAAGTCAACACTCTTTGGAGGGAAGAGGAGACCCTGTCAAATTTACATTTTTACTATAGGCAAGTGTTTAATGCCACTTATTGAGTGAAAGTTTGTGCTACAGTTTAGATAAGTGTCCCCAAAGCCCTGTGTGTTGAAGGCTTGGTTGCCAGCCTGTGATGTCACTGGAAGGCTATTAGGGGTAGAGCCTAGTATAAGGAAGTTAGGACAGTAGAAGTATGCCCTTTAAGGGAATACTGGGATACCAGGCCCTTCCCACCAACCACCTCTCTGCTTCTTGGCCACTGTGAGATAAATAGCTTTGTTCTACCCCATGCTTCTCACCATGATGTGCTCCTTGCTACAGGCCCCCAGAACAACAAGACAATTGACCATGGACTGAAACCATGATAATCTTTTCTTCCTTTAAGTTGATTATCTCAGGTATTTTGTCAGTGACAGAAAAATAATACAGAAAATGAGTATCAAGAAATCAAGGCTTTGGTCAGGTGTGGTGGTGCATGCCTGTAATCCTAGTGGCTCAGAAYGCTGAGGCAGAAGGAACACAAGTTCAAAGCCAGCYTCAGCAATTTAGTGAGGCTATAAGCAATCTAGTGAGACCCTGTCTCAAAGTAAAAAGGGCCAGGGATGAGGCTGAGTGGTTTAGTATCCTTGGGTCCAATCCCTGGTACAAAAAAAGAGTCATTGCTATGACTATTCCTGACAGTGCCATTCAGAAGCATTTGAAATTGGATTGTGGGAAGAATTTGGAAAAGTTTGGAGAAGTAGAGAAAGCCTAGAATGCTATAAACAGATTAACAGGTGTTTCTGGTGAGGTCTCAGAAGACCAGAATGCTGATAGAAATGTGGACAGTATATGCTTATGGGGGTTCCAATGGAAATAAAGACTCTATTTGGAATTGGATTTTGAGGCCACCGTATTATATTGTGGCAAAGAATCTGGATTCATTTTGTCCATGCCTAAGACTTTGTGGGAGGCAGAGCTCAAGTGTGATGGACTAGTTTATTTGGCAGAGGAAGTTTCACAGCGGCACAACATTCAGGCTCAAGCTTTGGTGTGGGTATTGCTGGCTGTTTTTAGCCAGATTTACAGTGAGAGTTGGGAGCAAAAAAAAAAAAAAAAAGGAAAGGCAGAAAGACTTTCCTTAGGTAAGAGTGCACAGGGACACCCTGCTCACACAAGGCCATCTGGGGAGTAGGTACTCAGGCTGCTGCAGCCATGGTTCCAGTGGATCCTGGTACATACAGCTCATGCTGGTAGCAGACCTTGGGGTCTTCCACAAATGCTGGCTGTGCGGACATGCAAAATGCAAGAGTTGTGGAGTCACACAGGCTTCCACCAAAATTTAGAAGGAATTCCTGAGAGGCCAGGCATTGTGTGATAGGTGAGAGCCCCTGCAAGCAGCCCTCAAGAGATGCTTGAAGCTGTGAGAATAAAGCAGAAGCTGCAGTGGAAACCCCAGGAAGTTAAAGATTCCSGAACATTGAATGCCTGCTGAGGTAAGCTGAAGCAGCAAGCAGAGCCTGCCCAAGAGAGTAGCCATGTGGGCTACAGCCAGCAAGGGCACAGAGGCAGGACTGCCCAAGCCCTTGGGATCTCACAGTCTGCCACTGCATGCCTTGGATGCCAGACATGGTGACTTATGGTTCAGTGTTTTCCTGCTGGGTTTTGGTACTTTGGTCTGATCTTTCCTATCTATGCCCCTACTCCTCACTTTGGGAACAGGGATGTCTACCCTATGCTGCTATATCTTGGAAGTGTGTAACTTTTTGATTTATATATCAATTTTTTTTAAGCAGGAACTCATAGCCAACTTTGCCTTGAGTCTTGAAGATGAGCGATTCTGGAATATTTAAATTTTGAAGACTCTTAGAGAAAGATCTAAATGATTTTGCATTATGGGATGGACATGAGCTTTTGGGGGCCAGAGGCAAAAAAGCTATAGGTAGGGTAAACATCTTCCAAAGGCCTGTATGTTGAAGGCTTGGTTGCCAAACTGTAGCATTATTGGGAAGTGGTGGAACCTTTAGGAGGTAGAGCCTAGTAGAAGGAAGTTAGGTCACTAGGGTGTATCCTTTAAGAAAATACTAGGACTCCAGCCTCCCCCCTCCCCCACTTCCTGGCCACTATGAGATAAATAGCTTTGCTCTACCACATGCATCCCACCATGACATACTGCCTCATAGTAGGCCCAGAAGCAATATGCCAATCAACTAGGGACTGAAACCTCTGAAACGGTGAGCCAAAATAAGCCTTTCCTCTTTTTAGGTTGGTTGTCTCAGGTATTTTGTCACAGTGATGAAAGTAGTTAATAGTCTGGTTTGATGTAAATTGCTTCTTAGCTATCTTAGCTTGTGTCATCCCTGATCTCTCATATCCCTGTCACTGTTACTTAAGATTTTTATATATCAGTAAATTTTACAGAAATCTTCTTTTGACTTACCAGAACAGGTCACAGTKGACTGCAATTGTATTTTTATTTTTATATAAGAAAAATATTGGGGCTGGGGATGTGGCTCAAGCAGTAGCGCGCTCGCCTGGCATGCATGCGGCCCGGGTTCAATCCTCAGCACCACATACAAACAAAGATGTTGTGTCCACTGAAAACTAAAAAATAAATATTAAAAAAAATTCTTAAAAAAAATATCACAGTAACTCGTGAGAAGATTCAAATGGCCTCTGAATCATCATCCCTGTCAGTGGTTATTCATCTTGAAAAGTATAGTATGGAAAACTCTTCTAATAATTTGTCTAAAGCAATACTTCTCAACCAATGCCAATTAAATTATTTCTGGAGACATTTTTGGTTGTCACAACTGGTGAGGAAGCAGGGCTTGTCACTGGCATCTAATAGATAGAGGCCACAGTCCTTCTAAAGATCCTACAGTGCACAGGACATCCTCAGTCCCCCACCCGAACACACAGTTATTCAGCCAAAATGGTAATAAAGCTAATAAAGTTGAGAAACCCCTGTTCTAAAGGTTCACACTCTGGTCTGAATGTGTCTCTTTAAAATTATGTTGAAACCCAACACCCAGAGTGACAGTATCAGAAGGTAGAATCTTTAGGAGGTGATTAGTCATAGGGACACGCCCTCACAAATGGGATCAGTACCCTTATAACAGAGACCCCAGAGAGATAACTCAGCCCTTCAGCCAGGTGAGGACTCAACTAGAAGGCACCCTCCATGAGGAAGAGAGCCCTACTAGACACTGAGTCTTGCTGGTGCCTGATTTTGGATCCCCCAGGCTCCTAAATTGTGAGAAATAAATKTCTACTTATAAGCTACTCAGTTTATGGTATTTGATTATAGAAGCCTGAATGTGTGACTGGGTATAATTTCTTATGGGATGATTTGGAGTTACACAAGATAAATAACTGAAATGGAGCTATGCCCCTTAGACTTCTTGAAAGACAGTAAAAAATAAGAAATGCACAGTAAGAAATGGTAGTAGTGGGAATACTCCTGAAGTAAAAACTTAAAGGAGATTATGGGCTAAATAATATTGGGAGATTTGTAGTATACTGAACAAGATTTTCATATTTCTGAACAGGAAGTTTTTCTATCCAGTTAGGTTTCAAGCAGTCAAAAGAAAACAAAGAATAAAAACTGTTTTCACATGCTCCATAGTATAGTACACTACTTAATCACTGTGGAAGAACTGAATTTTTTTTTCTTTTCTTGTGGTACTGGGTATTTAGCCTAGGAATATTTTATCACTGAGCCACATCCCCAGCCCTTTTTATTCTTATTTTAAGACAGGGTCTCACTGAGTTGCTTAGAGCCTAAGTTCTTGAGGCTGGCCTCAAAATTTGTTCTTCTGCCTCAGCCTCCTGAGTCACTAGAACTACAATATGTGCCACCATGCCCAGGTAGAATAATTTATATTTTGACATTTCTTTATCTTGTCAAAAAGGCTAAATGTTCATTTATACATATACGTATTCTTGCTGGGTTTCTTTGCATGATTTTTTTCCTTTCCTTTTTGGCCAAAAACCAGGGCAGTAAGTAAATCTTGAAATGCCAAAATCAAAGCTGGTAGCATGGTAACAGAAAATGTATTACTATTAAGAAACAGACATCTTCCTCCCTAAAAACACACACAGGTAAACCTCAGGCAAACACAGGTCAGTGCTTACGCATCATCCCTGGCCATCAGGGGTTGCAGAAACAATCCTGCTGTCCCTAAAATGCACACCAGGATGAAAACCCATAGAAAAATGCGATCAATCACCATGGCAACATATTTCCAGTCGTCTTGAATCTGAAAAACAAACAAACAAATAAATAAAAATCATGCAAGAGAAAGCACAAGGGGAAAAGCAAAGTGAATGTRTGTGTGTGGGTAGGGGGCAGTGCTGGTCTTGAACCCGGAGTCTTGTACATGCTGGGCAGGTTCTCTACCACTGAGCCACATCCCCAGCCCCAAGTGGATAGTTTCAATATTTAACAATATGTGGCCATATAAGAAGTCATTTTATCTCCAATATGCAAGAACTCTCTTTTTTTACTCAATGTGGTCTGAAGAAATCTACCATCAAGTTTTGCTTCATGCAGTGGAGAAATAGGTATGAAATATTTATCATATTAGCTCTGTTTCAAATGAGAAATTTCTAGGCCTTTATAACCCATTTTTTTCTAAATTTCAGTTTTGTAAAGTTAGCAAAACCAGTTATTTATGCCTCTATTTTGGGCCTTTGTTTGAATGGCTGGTACAACCCAGCATCACTTGCTATTATTTCAAGAACTCATTCTTTTCCAGTTTTAGATATTAATCGTACATCTGTTGCAAATGTGAAAAAGCACATCAGGCAAGTCTATCATCCTTTTCTTTCCTAGTACTCCATTCCAGAATGCCCACAGACCAAATGTCATCTTCAGATGGAAGGTCAAAGTACAATGGAATGCTATACAGTATTATTTGAGGTTCAGCCTGCCCTACACAGTTGAAATAACTGCTGACAATGAAGTTTAAAAAAAAAAATGGAAGAGAGTGCAACACTAATTGTGCATAATACAGCTTCAATTGAGGCTTGAAACAGGAAAAAGAATTGTATGGTAATTAAACTCCTAGACGATTCAGAAAGCAAAGGAACCATAATTGAATTGAGAAGGAGAGAACCCATGAATCAACTGATTTTGAAGCAATAATCACATAATAAAGAGGCAGCATGTAATTTTGTAATTTAATTAAGTGCCCCGAATTGGGACTGGGAAATGTGGATTTTACTATTATGAGCTTGAGTAAATGTGTCCTCTCAGTGACACTAAGAAGTCATTGGTAAAGTTATAATGCCCTGTTTGCCACAAGTTACTTTATTTGAATTTCTAAGACTGGTTTGTAAGTGCTTCAGATCTACCAGGGGCTCTGATTTCTACCCGTATACTATAGGCTGAGCCTCCTAAGGGTGTAAGAGGCAGGCAGGTGGGAAAATAGAGACCTGGAGACAGATTTTGATTATAATATCACTCTGCTCCTTTCTAGTTGTAAGAATCTGGGTAAATTCTATCTCCTCCCTTAGCCTCAACTTATTTATCTATAAAATGGGAATAAGAACAATACCTACCTCAGAGGGTTGTTTTGGTACAGAGTCCTTAATGAACAGTACCTATTGATGTTAATGTTGATTTGAAAAAATGACTAATATCCCCATTTAAATCTCCCTCTGACTGCACTTCACATGGTTCAGCCCAATGAAGAAAAACTGGACTTGTGTCTTAGACATGGGTACAAAGGGGGCATGAATTTTAAGCCTCTCTCTCTCTCTCTCTCTCTCTCTCTGGAGATTTTTAGTTGTAGAAGGACCATGATACCTTTTTTTTGTTTATTTAGGTTTTTTTATGTGGTGCTGGGGACCAAAGCCTCAGGCGCGCTAGGCAAGTGCTCTACCGCTGAGCCACAACACCAGCCCTAAATCTAACTCTTAAAGCCTTTAAAGCACAATGATATTGGCCATTCTCTAGAAACGTTGGGACTAAATGATGAATCGAGGGTAGATGAGAGTTGGGCAAAATGGTGAACGGGCCCAAGCTCCTAGCTCCCTTGCACAGCACAACCCTGGAGATGGCCCAGAAACAAGAGACTCTAAAGACTCTCTGAAACCCAAATAGGGAAATGGTGGCCTGGGGAGTGGGCATAGCAAGTGGGGTGGCAGGTGAGCCAGGAAGGGGTCTCCATGGAAGGAGAAGGTGGGGGAGTTTTGGTGTGGTGCTCTTTCTGGCCCTGCCTCATTACCACCTCAGCCTGTCGGCTCCCTTTCCAGAGATGCAGGCTCAGCGGTGATGTGCAACACCAGCAGAGCCTGGCTGATGGGAAGAGCAGAGCATAGAAAGGTGCCCACTGACTGGAGTAGCTGAAGCTCCCTTCCTCTCCTCCCACATCAAGGACTGAACTACTTTAGTCCAGCAGAAGGGACTGGAAGAGATCAGAGCCAGGCAGGAGGTGGCCAGACATTTCTTTAAGAACAAAGCACCTAGAGGGGAGGCAGCACCCTCAAGGGAAATTACCCCAGTTTGTGACCCCATGTCCTCAGCCTTGTGCTGTCTGACTTTTGGCCCTTCCCTCAAACAATTCACCAAGGACAGCTGACCCTCCCTGGAGGAAGGGCGTTTACAGGCTGAAAAAACACACACATTTAGCCATCTGGAGGAAAGTGAACACATTAGACAGGGCAAGGACTTAAAAATGCTCTCCTCTAAGATAAGAGAACACTGGAAGTATGAAGTAGAAACAAGCAGTTTGACAGAAGAACCAGTAAGTGTAAAAGGTACAAAAAATAGTAGGTGTGAAAATAGAAAATTTGTGACAAAGAACTCAGGAGATGAGCTAACTAGCAGGGTAGATACRGCCCAGGAAAGCAGCAGTGGTGGGGCGGTGAGGCTGAGGAGCCATCCTGGGTGGCAGGAAGGATGGAAGAGCTAAGAAATGTCATGAGAAAACTAAGATGGGGAAGCAGGATGCAGACATGTTCAGGTGGGTACAGTACAAACTCAGGAAAGAATACAGGAAGGGGGTGAGAAGGAATCTCTACAGAAACCATAACCTTGGATGTCCCAGCAGTATAGAAAGATGTAAGCCCAGAATGAAAAGGCTCCTAAGAATGCCAGACTGATAAGGTGGGACCCACACCTACTAGACACATTGTGTTTGATGTCATTAGATTTCTCTAAAAATAGAAAGTTCTAATAGCTTCTAGGCAGAATCAATTACAAAGGCACAGCATTAAGGCAAAACTTTCCCCTAAAGTGATACTGAGGCAAAATGACCTTGAAGCCATAGATAGATAGATAAACTATATATAAATATATAGCTACACATATATACAAATAATTTTAAGTATTTAAGGAAAAGAACTTAAACACTAGCATTTTGTATCCAACTAACAGCATCCTGAACTTCAAGACCAAGAAAAAGTCTTGTAGTTGCCATGTGCCTCAATTTATATATTTGTAATATTGAAATAATAATAGTATAGACCTCACAGGATTATTGCAGGATAAAATGAATACACACACACACACACACACACACACACACACACACACGAGTGAAGTCACAATAAGTTAAGCCTTCCAGGCCTTAGAAGGTTTACCCATAAACACCCTTGAGGAAAGCATGTTGCTAAGAAATCCAGGGTACACCACAGGATACATGTGAAGGGTAAAAGTAAAGTTCATGGTAGACTTTAAAAACAGAATGACAGAAATGAAAAAGTACATTCATCAAAATTCTGAACAAGAAAAAAAATCCTGAACTAGGCGAGGGGGCATGGGAGGATTAGATGAACTCTAGATAGGGCAAAAGGGAGGGAAGGGAAGGGAGGAGGCATGGGTAGAGGAAAGATGATGGAATGCTATGGTCATCACTACCCTAAGTACATGTCACGAAGGATGTGACTCTACTTTGTRTACAACCAGAGAGATGAAAAATTGTGCTCTATATGTGTAATATGAATTGTAATGCATTCTGWCATGTAACAAATTAAAATTTAAAAAATAAATTTAAAAAACTCCTGAACTAAGATACTAGTAACACCTAGTGTGGCTGCAGGGCATGAGGAAGACCACAGGAGAGGTGCGTCTGTGGCAGGCAGGATACAGATATTGAAAAATGTAAGAGACTGATTTGATGGATAGGGAAAAGAGAATTGAGTATGGGTTTAAGGCAGTAAAAACCACCAGAAGAATAAAAAATAGAATATCATGTGGCTTTCATGTATTTTATTCATAAAAAATAAAACTTTCTCATATACAGCAAGAACTGAGGAAAAAACAAACAGATAAATGGAAGACATTGGAATAAAGCAAAAAATATAACCCTGATAAAACTAATCACAACACAAATTAATCATTGCTCATAGGTCATGCTGTGATTAGAATGAATGAATAATYCACCAAATAAAACAAGTTGCTTCCAAACAATGAGCTTAAAAGATCATGACTGATCTGTGCACCTCCAAGATCTCTAGAGCAGCATGTACAGTGGACAGCCAGGGTGTGATCAGCCACCAAAACTGCTGTCAATAAACAGTCCTTCCCCAGGTGAGTTCTAGTTTTCTAACCTGGTAACCCACTTCTAATTCCCAATGAGAGCATTCAGCATTAAAAGGGAAATTTCCAGCAGGCTGCAGTGGCACAGAATTAATCCCAGTGACTGAGGCCAAGGCAGGAGGATTGCAAGTTCAAGGACGGTATGGGTCCCTGTCCCAAAAAGAGCTGGGATGTAATTCAAGCACCTCTGGGTTCAATCCCAGTAAGGGGGTGGGCGGAGTTCTTTACACCAATTAAAGCTAGTATGGTTTATCTGAACAAAACAAAACTACTTCTCCAATTGGGCAGCTCCCAGAACCTGAAAATGTCAACCAAAAAATATGGTCCAACAACATGCATAGGGAAATAGATGTGACACACAGAAAACAACTTAACTGGCTATGGCTTAACTAGTTAATTGGCTACAGGGCCTTCTGCAACCAACCAAAGGTCTGTTACTGTGATTAAACTCAACATTGGCTTGGTCCATTGGGCCTGTGCAGGTACCCAGTCAAAAATCCATGGCCTCCCATAAGTTTTTATTTAACACTAAGGATGATCATTCCCAGGCTTGCAGCAGCCTCTGGAGATAGCTGGGAAAACAGCCTAGGATACTGTCTGGGCTCTGTGGAGCCAGGGACAGTTAACATCTGCCAAGTTTGAGCCAAAGAATAGGAAATTAAAATATCTCTGGAGAACTGTAAATAGCAGTGTCAGTTACTCAATAAGAGGGAAAGAAGAAATCCTTCAGGGGGATCCACTCTTCTGAGCATTGAGCAGCCACATTTATCCTAACACCCCCTCATATGTGTGTTGCAATCTGCTGGCTGCATGGCCAGATTTCTGCTTTCTCTGGAAAACTAGAAGGATCTACCCACATTCTCATGTAGTAACAGATGTCCAGAGGTGAGGCAGTGCCTGCCCCTTGAGATGGGTCTCGTACTACTCTTTTGCCATAGATCCTCCAAACCCTCACAGCTTGTATAATGTCTAGGAAATAATTTTTGGAATAAAGGTCATCTTAGCCTGAAAAGGCTAGAATGTAGGTACTGAGATCTCAACCTTTAATAAAATCATTGCTAACTTAAATGACTATTTAAGCGTTAGGAAAATGTAGAGAATGTCCTCAAAAGTTATCAGTGTTGAACAGATAAGAGATTTCCACTCATCATTTATTTAATGTCCAGTAACAGTTTCAACCAAATTTAAAGGAATGTCTATCTTTTTGGCTAAATTAATGGCATCAGCTGGAGATTTTGCATTGTTAAATCAGCCCTGAGACTGCTCCAGGTAGCTCAGATGGCTGGGTGGGGAGCTGTGGCTGTTTGCTTCCTGTCTCATCTGCTTTGGGATGCTACTGAGCTGACTAAAGGGCTCCAGGCATTCCTGACTAACATTAATTACCTACCATGCATCAGGAGCTGAAATTATCTTGTAATAGCTCTTTGCTAATAAACAAGGCAGAGCCAATTAATTTAAAAGCAAAGACTCTTATAAAATCAGTGAGCATGATCCTGGCAACCTTGGGGGCATACAAAGGGTCATGAAACAGCCAGACACATGACATTATTTCATGTAAAATTTACCTATCCTTAACGTTAGTTCTGGTAGAAGGTTTTTAGTGAAAATAGAACTAAGTTCACCCAATTCTTTAAAAAGAGCAAAAGAATGTGAATAGATATTTCACAAAAGAAGATATCCAAATGGCCAAGAAGCATATGAAAAGAGCCCTAGTAATTACTCAACCGGAAATACTAATTTGAACAGCAGTGAGACACCACTTAGCACATCTTGGAGAGGAGGTGAAGCACCTGGAACTCTCACACATTGCTGGGGAGTGATAGTTGGTTCAAACTCTAGAAATTTTACAATATCCACTAAAGTTAAAAATACATCTTTCCTGTTGGGGCTACAGCTCAGTGGCAGAGCACTTGCCTCATATGTGTGAGGCATGGGGTTCAAGC